AAGAAACGAAGCAAGTAAAATATGGCTTCAGCTAGAGTTGTTTTGAGAGTTGACACTACTTGCTTTAATGTGCCCTGTGTGGAAGAAAGTTGCAACAGACACAAAGGCATTTCCACAACACTAGAATTTTTCTGTTTTAATAAATGAGTTCAAGCAGCACTTTTTTTTACACAACTATGCGAAAATTGCTACTAGGGTATTGAAAAAATAATAACTCCAAAAAAGTAAAACTGTGGTCAATCATCTAGTCCAAGGATCATCTAGTCCAAGCCTCCACCAGAAGTGATAGAGACCCTACACCATTTCTAAGAAATGGCAGTCCAATCTCTTTTTGGAAGCCTCTGGTGATGAAGCTCCCACAATGTTCCATTAGTTGATTGTTCTCACCGTCAGAAAATTTCTCCTTATTTCTAGGTTGAATCTCTCTTTGATCTATTTCCATCCATTATTCCTTGTCTGGCCTTCAGATACCCGGGGAAATAGCTTGACCCCTTCCACTCTGTGGCAGCCCCTCAATTATTGGTAGGCTGCTAATCTGTCTCCCCTGGTTCTTCTCTTCCGAGTGCTGAATGTTGAATGCATGTTGTGTTTTTACTACTTTATTTTGTTTACATATTGTTTATTTTGTATTGCACCCCTCCCTAATGTTTGTAAGCCGCCCTGAGTCCCCTCAGGGAAAAGGGCGGCCAATAAATCTTAATAAAAATACTCAAAAAAAAAAAATTCATCAGATAATGTTATGTTAGCCTCAAATCACTTTAAGACTGACTTTATATTTGACTACAGGCCACTGCACATTTCCTGAAATAATGTAAGGTTTGTCTCGGTGAAAGTTCTGCCCACTAAATCTCTTTCCCTCACTCCTTTCCAGTTTTGCTATTATCTTTTGCAAATATTCAGGAGCAATTGTTGGATAATGGGTCTAGCCAAAATGTTAAAATAGTCTTCATCGTGCAGCCACATCTGCCATGTTGACTTTTTTGATCCTTGATCCACCTGAATAATAACAAAATAAAAAAGGAGTTGGAAAGAATCTTGCAGATCATCTAGTCCAACCCCCTGCTAAAGCAGGAGACCCAATACCATTCTTGATGAGTGTTCAGTCTATTCTTGAAAGCCCCCAATGATGAAACATCCACGACTTCTGAGGGCAAGCTGTTCCATTGGTTGGTTGTTCTCATTGTTAGAAAATTTCTCCTTATTTCTAGCTTGAATCTTTTCTTGATAAAGTTTTCATCCATTGTTCCTTGTCTGCCCTTCGGATGCTTTGGAAAATAGGTTGTCCCCCTCCTCTCTGTGACTGCCCCTCAAATATTGGAATACTGCTATCATGTCGTCCCTAATCTTTCTTTTCACTAGACTAGCCATGTTCAGTTCTTGCAACTGTTTGTCATACATTTTAGCCTCTAGCCATCCTTGTTGCTCTTCTCTGCACTTTTTCTAGAATCTCAGCATCTTTTTATAGTGTGGTGAGAAAAGCTGGATGCAGTATTCCAGGTGTGGCCTTATTAAATCCACTTACTTACCTGCAGACATTACTGCAAACATTGCAGATTCAGAGAACATCTTGACATCTTCACAGATCTCTCAAGATGGTTGAAGCTCTTTTAGAAACAAATAGCTACTGAAGCTATTTCCCCTTCTATTTTTGAGTGGGCTTTGATGTCTTTTAAGTTGCTTTGGTAAAATTTGGCCAGGATTAGTGAAAGGAACTTAAACAAATCTTGCAGTGCTACAAATTATGCCCTTCCTTCCCCACTAGTTGGCCAACAGAATGAAATACCAAAACATTTTATGTACAAGAATAAAAAAAGTAGGAGTCCTAATACATAGTCATGAAGGGTAATTTACATTTATAACTTTATTATCTTTACATTTCTAATTGCAACTTTATATCCATGAGTGTATCTTTTTGATGTGATGGCTACCAACATGGATGATTTAATCCACAGGCTAGGTTAAGACTGTGTTTTCTGTGCTTTATTTAGTACATTAAGGAAAAAAGACACCACTTGTTCTTCACAATGGCCCATAATGTCCCTTGGTTCACAGGCTTCCCTCAGTGTCCTCCTAGTGCAAACTTTGAGGTCTGGAAGGGTTCTGAAGCAGAGGAACTGAAATCAACTTACTTCATTCTTTGAAGCAAAAGAACAACATGGCTTTGTGAAATAGTTTTAATAGACGGATTGTTTTGGAGTTTTGTCAAGCAACACACTTTATTAAAGTTTCATGTTGCCTCATATATAATGAATATTTATCTTCATCTTACATTTGTTTTTGGCTAATTATATTGATGGTACAATTCCACAATTTCAAGGATCAAATGCTATGAGGATTTACCAAAGCCTGCTCTCCAAAGTAATCCCTACTTAAGGATCAGTGTGTAATTCACACAAGTTACCAACTCATTGAGACCTGTGAATAATTCAAGAAATATAGTAAATTCGCCCTATAACAAAGAGAAAAAAAAATTAATTACCAGCTGTAGAAAGACTTTTTAATATATTTTCAACCAACGGTTGCCTGTGGTTTCAAATTTTCTGAAGTGTATACCTTTAAAAACTGCAGATAGTTTGACCCCGATCCTCTCATTTTCACAGTTGCATTGATTGTTTCTGCACAAAAGAAACAGTGATCAAGAATTAGCACAAATAAAAGTTACTCTGTTATTTTTCCACATTTAAACACATGCGGTAGGTGGCCTATCAAAAATAAATTTAGAGGCATAACTGGACAAATTATTGCAAATGACAAGGATAAAAGACAAAAAATTGGCTGCCAATGCTTTAGCCTTGCAACAACATTCAAATGGAATGTTATATTACCTGCTGCACCCCTGTGGAAAATTGATGCCAGGTGCATCATGATAGAATCACCCAAATACTGAAAAATTGTACAATCTGCATGATGATGTAATGAAACACATAACATTATTGCAGTTTGTATGTGGTTTCTATAATACCACCTCCTAGGCATGAGTGCACAACTTTTGGGTGGTCATTGACAGGTCTCATAATCCCAAAAGTGAGAGGGTCCTAGAACACAACCTCAATGTGATTTTATTTAAATGAAAATGTTATAGTTGTAGCATACTTCCACTGCTAAGTAAGACAGTTGTTAAGAGAGCTTGGCCCCATTCTTTCTTGCCACAATTGTTAAGTGAATCACTGCAGTTGTTAAGTTAGTAACACAGTTGCTAAGTGAATTGACAACAAAATTGACTTTGCTTGTCAGAAGATTGCAAAAACGTGATCACATGACCATGAGACATTACAACCATCATAAAAACAAGCCAGTTGCCAAGCATCTGAATTTTGATCTGGTGACCCTGGGGACGCAACTATTGTAGGTGTGAAAAACAACTATAGGTCAGTGCTGTTGTAACTTCAAATGGTCACTAAACAAATGTGTATAAGTCGAGGACTATTACTTTTCATAAACCTATTACATTAAAATTAATATGATTAACTTTCAGAAATTTAGTTACTTCTTTTTTCTATTGCATGCTAAACTATAATCTGATTGTACCTTCCCAATTTCTACCACTTTAAAATTATATAATCTGGCAGCAACGTCTGTGAAAAACTTTTTTTAGGCTGCACCCAGTGGTGGGATTCAAAATTTTTGCTACCAATTCTGTTGGCATGGCATGGCTTGGTGGATGTGGCTTGGTGGGTGTGGCTTGGTGGGTGTGGCTTGGTGGGCGTGGCAGGGGAAGGATACTGCAAAATTCCCATTCTCTCCCCACTCCTGGGGGATTTTACTGTAAAATCTCCATTTTACAGTAAATCTCCCCCCCTTCCCTGGTTGAGTTGTGAGCCGCCCTGAGTCCCCCTTCGGGGGAAAAGGGTGGCATATAAATAAAATCAACATTCAACATTCATTTTCACCTCACTCCCGGGCAAGGATACTGTAAAATCTCCATTTCCACCCCACTTGAGGGAAAGGATGATACTGTAAAATTCCCATTCCCTCCCCACCCCACTAACTTACTTTGCAGCTCCTGTGCAGAACAATGGCAGAAGACCCAGCCGACCAGCTGGGACGCTGATCAGCTGGGACTTGCAGGCAGTGAATAGATGGGGCGGAGCCAGCCAGAGGTGGTATATTTTAGTTCTCCGAACTACTCAAAATTTCCCTACTGGTTTGCCAGAACCGATCAGAACTAGCGGAATACCACCTCTGGCTGCACATAAGGTTTAGGTGAAGCATATGATTTAATAATCAGACTGTAATTGCATGTTTGCATCCTCAGATTTCAGTGGCAGTAGTGACAGGATTGGTGTCACTAAGTGTCGAGGTCATAAAGCATGATACCATGTGTCTTAATCAGTGGTGGGTTCCAAACCGGTAGTGGTTTGGCAGCCTCAGTCACTGGAACCAGCAGCGACCCAGGCCTGCCACGCCCCTGAACCCGTTCTCTGGTTTTTCACTTCTGCGCATGCACAGAACAATTTTTATTGCACACACAGCGCGCCCACAAGCAAACCAGCAGTAGTGCCTGCCGGAACTCACCCCTGGTAACCTTGCCACACCTCAGATCCAGATATGTTTTTGATGCTGTTAACTATCGGGGTCACTTTAATACATCTTTCTTAATTATAAGAATCATAGGATCTTACTTGGTGCTTAATTTCTTTGGGGTCTGACCCACAACAACCATACCAGCAATAACAATCATAGTAATAATAATTTCCTATTACTAAAGGTATTAAGAATTGTTTAGTTAAAATAAAAGAATTTTAGTCAAAATATAGCAGTCTTGTGGAATGTTTATTAATGATATACATAGAGATAGTCTTCAGTTTCCACAACAGTTGGGGCTGGAATTTCTGTCACTAAGTGATATGATTGTAAAACCCAATGCCGCATGAGCATATCACTTAGTGATGGCAGTTCTGGCATTTCCTAGTTGTCAATATTAAGCAAATCATCATGGTCATTGCTTTTTTTGTTTGCATTTTTATTGTGTTTTATTCAGTTTCCCCCTTATTCTGTTTTTTGAAGTCTGTATTTTTAGTGAGGGTTACTATTGCATTATTTTTGCTATGTTTGGTCATTGTTTCTTCATTTTTCTGTTTTCCTTTAACTTTACTAACAATGGATCATAATTATTTTGTAAGAAATTCAGCACAATTTTATACTATAATTTTATCTGTTTGATCCTGAGAACCACCAACTGGTAGTATGCATTTTTGTGAACACAATCCACTTCATAAAATTTAGAAAACATGAAGTTTGTCAACCCTCGGTATATTATTTTCTGTTGCTTTCTTCATAAAAGAATATATTGGAAGTCTTGATAAATAGAATACAAGAATCAGAACAAATTTCATAGGTCTGTTAAAGACTGCATATTCATACTTACCTCCCTTCAAAGTTCCACAAAATGAATAGTCATCATCCACACCATAACAAATAGTACTCTCCCATTTAAAGTCTTTGGAAGGCCCATTCAACAACAGTACGCGTACATTGACAACGGTCAAATCAGCCTCTGCAGAAATATGTTACAAAAAGATCATTGATAATGTCTCTATGCAAGTATATAATATAGGTCTATAACATATTCCTTGTATGTGTATGAGAAAGAAAGTGAAAATTTGATCATTTTAAAATTCTTTTTAAATCCATGGGATTTCACAAAACATTTTGTTTCCTAGGAGAAGGCATCAGTTGAAAACATATTTATACAGACATTTATAAATGGTGACAACAAAGCCAGAGGAATGATAAATACTTTATTATATTCTATCAATTACTATGTCATATTATACATTATCATTCATGTAATGAAATTTGGAACTAATCAGAGACCTTCCATCAAACTGAGAAGTGAACTTGTTGCTTAGTAGTTTTTTACATACCAAAAGTGGAGAAAAAATAATAATATACATATTCAGCATGAGAAAGAGCTACAATTTTTTTCTCTGGTTTAAAGATTCTCTCTTGCACTCTAACTCAAACAATTGCTTCCAGATATGTTACATTATCCCTACCATCATTTTCAATAGAATACCCTGTGTCTCTCTTGATTTACAAACTACTAAGCCATGATTTATGCATTACAAACTGCAACGAACAGGTTCACATGCTAGTCTAAGAAAAAAAAATCACATTGTTTGATAGATCAGCAATGTATATTCAAGTCATTGATTGTAGAATAAGCCCATTAAACTGAGCAGGACTTAAATGTGTAGAATGAAAGGTTTGAACCAATATTTCCCACTTAGGAGAAATTGCTGTCCAAAAACTTTAATGAATATGAAAGAACAAGCACAAGGTTGCTTTGATTGCTAATACCCCAGCAATCCTTAGGCATATGAGATGTTGCTGATAATATGAAAAACACAGAAAGGTGAGCAAACGAGCACCTCCTTGCACTTCCATGACCTTCATAAGTCAATTAATATTTTGTGCAAGTGTATACCCTTAATAGTATATGTAAGTATATAAACAGGGAGCAAGCCCCACATTCACTAGTGCTGATGTTACCTCAGTAAGGTACAATGAAATATCTCCAAGCAAATAATCAGATTTCGAGAGCACTAAGGATCCACAGTTCAACCCTGAGCTACAGATATTCTCTTCTACAAATATTCTATTGTTATTTCAGGTGACCGTGAAATATGTTGAGCATTGTGTGTGAAGCTACGATAACTGCTAGGGTTATTAAAAACATATTTAGAAATGAATATGGACCACTATAATATAGAAACCTAGCAATGAGTTCCATGAATGTTAACTTTGCAGTAGTTGACAGCACTTAACTTTTTTTTTTTAATAAAAAACACTGTCAGTCTTAACTCTCTCACATGCTTTCCAATAACAGCTATTCAATACTGAAAGTTAGTCCTCCTGAAGTAATTAGTGTACAGGTAGTTCTCAAAATATCACCTGTCAATTAATGATCAAATGTACAACAGACCATCTGCCAAAAAGCTGCATACCATCCTGTTTCAAATTTACAGAGGATATAATATCCTTGAGGATATAATTTGCCCTTACAACCAATCACAGGGATGCTGTAACGTTCCCCACCTTTCTTCCCCCATCCCGCCCTGACAGGACTCCATAATGCTTGGGCTTGGTAGCCATATTTACTGGAACCAGACACCATTTTCAGTGCTCTGACAATTCCTTGAGGAAAAGGTAGCTGCATTCAGAGCGTCCTGTCCCGATCATGCAAAGGGGGCAGCTTTAGGATCAGCTTCCCAAAACATTATTCTCACATAACCCCTTCCCTCTTCCCAAAACTCACATTTCTTCAATAAAGAAAACAAAAACAGCTCAGAGGGTCAGACTTGTTGATCACCCCCCCAAAAAAAATTAGGTGCTGAAATTAAACTCTCTGCCTATGCCCTCCAATCTTGATCCCCTTTAACCACTTCATTTGCTAAATTTAGCTCATCCTGAAGCTGCCACTTTTGCATGCAGGCAGCTGGCTTCCACAAAGCCTAGCAAAGGCCAGGAAAGGTTTGCCGTTTCCTGAATGCCAGCTAATCAGGGCAGAGGCCCATCCCCTTCAGAGGGTTGTTTGGAAGCCTCTCTGGCATTGAAATGAGATGCTAGGCCCTAATCTAGCTGGGGTCTTCTCCCCTGCTAGGCTGTTTTTGGCTTTGAAAATCTTTTTGCTGCTTGTCTGCCTCCTTTATGGACCAGCCTCCCTCACCCATGAGGTACCCCATGCACATTTGTTTAATGATAGCATCAGGGAGAGCAGGGATTGTTAAGCAAGACTATCTAACTTAACAGTTGACACTACTTGCAACAGTAATGAGCAGGCTGCATTAGTGTTGTATGTTGAGAACCACCTGTATATATAATCCAATGAAACACTACAATAGATGCCAAGATCAGCCAAGTCTGGTGCTTGATCCTGAATAAACGGAAGCACTTTCCACCCAAAGAAAGTTACCATCAGATCCAACCAGAGGTGGTATTCAACCGGTTCTTTCCAGTTTGGGCGAATCGGTAATGGTGGCTGCGGGAGGCTCTGCCCCCCCCCCCAGTGGTGGGTTTCAATTTTTTAGAACCTATTCTGTGGGTGTGGCCTATTTTGTGGGCATGGCTTGGCAGTCATGTGACCGGGCGGACAACTTGACATCACTCATGCATACTCAGTCACATGACCACCACCCTGGAGGATTAAGGTCCAAAATTAGGGAGATCGGAGAAGGCAGGACAGAGGGGAATCCAGTAGAAAGCTATCACACGCTGGGGAAAGAACTTTGGGAGATCAGAGGAGGCAGGACAGAGGGGAATCCAGTAGAAAGCTCTCACATGCCGGAGAAAGAACTTTGGAAGATCAGAGAAGGCAGGACAGAGGGGAATTCAGTAGAAAGCTATCACACTCTGGAGAAAGAACTTTGGGAGATCGGAAGAGGCAGGACAGAGAAGAATCCAGGAGAAAACTCCTGAGCTTGCCGCTGCTGTCTCGTGGATTGTGCCGCTGGACCTCTCCATGCTTCTCTGTTCACCAACTCCACTCCCAGGTATGGGACTTGACACAGAATTGGGCTAGGATAGTGCTGACTGGAGGGGTAAGCGAGTGACGGAGCTGATTCCGGATGGGCGGGGGTGAGTGAGCGAGCGACAGGGCCGGGGCAGTTACTTCCGGGTCCACCAGTGGAACCTCCTCTCAACGGATTGGTAAATTTCACCATCCGGTTCTCCCAAGCTGGTGTGAACCGGCAGAAACCCACCACTGTGCCACCCCACCCCGAGGTAATGCACAACCTTCTACATGTGCTCACATTTGCAAACTGGTAAGGAAGGTAAGTAAATCCCACTGCTGGATCCAACCCAGCAACAGGAAAAAATAGCATGGTATTCTTGCTATACAGGTAATCCTTCCAAGTGGGTTGTTAAGTAAGGCCCATCTCTAATGGAGAATAATTAAGTCTGGTGTGGTCTGACATAGACAGTAAACTCACTTGGAATCCAGAAAATAGTGCCCTGCCATTCTGAACGACCCCGTAACAAACATGGCTTCGCTGAAAAGAGGAAGTTATCTCTCCCAGAGCCTGTGAGGCAAACAAATTTAGTAAAGTAAAAATAAATCATTAAAAAATGACATGAATCTTTGGCCATTCCTGTTGGACTACTAAAACACACAACTAACATACTTTTGAAAATAAGTGCCAACCAATACTTTGTGCAGGGATGGAAGAAACTAGCAAGACAATCAGGATAATATAGAGCAATTTCATCTAGTAAAACAGATCATATAAAAATGAAATGCAGAGTTTAAGAGTTCTTCTACATCTGTAGCTAATCGACGCAGCTGAGATTGCAACAGGGATTATGTAGACATAGTATTCGGCAGTTTTCAAATTTGCTTGTTTCTCATCTTTGGGGCCAAATTATTTGTGGGATTATTCTATTTTTGCTCACCTACCAAGATATTCTACAAAGCACGCGAGCCAATAAGTCATAAGAAGTCATCTCATAAATTGGGGCATGCCAATTCAGGCCATATTCAATGGCTGAACTTTTCTGAATAGATCTCAATTTTCACATGGCACCCAAAATAGATTTAATATAGTATTATTTTCTGCTGCAAAGCAAATATTTAAACAAATTTTCTTTCAGCTTTGTAGGTTACAAAAAATAGTAAAATAAATGTAAATGCATCCCTACTCCTTGTAGAAATTTGGTGTTTCAGTCCCCACTGCTTGTTCAAATGTGATATTAATTCATTAGTTCATTTTATTTAAATTAGAAGAAATTATTATGATCTTCCCACAAGATTTAAACTAATTTACAAAATTCCAAAGAACTCATTAGCAAATGAGTGGGACCAAGAGTGTCCATTAAAGAAGAAAGGCACAAATGAAGGTGCAATTGTGATGGCATCATCACAGACAATGCTTATATATTTACATCAGATGTGATGACATATTTTAATTAAAAAGTGGACTTAAAAAAAAATATAGGCATGTTGCTTTATACTAGAACCACATTTTCTAAAATTGGTCCGAGGATCCTTTGGAGGGACCTGAAAACCAAAACCAAAATTCTTGCCAGATATCGAAGATATTGTAGTGGAGCCAAGATGTTATCTGTGCCGTTCTTTGGGCACCCAATTTACTTGCGTGGCCACATTCTATATCAGCTGAAGCTTCAGATACTTTTCAAGGGTAATGATTTAATTTTGGAAGTCAATTAGCATTTGTTTTGCTTTATTTATTGTTTGTTTTATTGTACATTGCCCAAAAACCCTCTTTGAGACACATGGGTGGTTCAGCAATTGGAAATATAAACACACACACACACACACACACACACACAGACACACACACACACACACACACACACACACACTCTAGGAAGATGACAGTGGTTGTTCATGGATTCAAGGTTACCATGACACTGTCAACCCCTAGAATAGATCTAAATAGAATTGTACTTTCTGTGCTTCACAGCTACTTGATAGAAATTTTTACAGAAGTTAGAAGAACACTGATAATGGAAATTAGAGCATCTTAGGGTAAAAGACTTGGGATACCTGTTTAAAATCTGAAAATCATTCTGTGAGGCTGCAGTCATAAGACAACAAACCTATAGGTGTAGATCTGACATCAGTTTAGCCATGAACCAAATATTGGAAATACATTTGAAGTAGGGTGGAATTTTTGTCTTTCTAAGCACTGCATTTTTCTATTTCCTTCTTGATCGGTGAAAAGAAAGTAATTTCACTTTTGAAGTTTAAAAATCTGTTGCGATTAACTAACAATTAGTTTTATTTTTCTAACCAATAGCAATATTTTTTTACTAAGAACCTGAAATCAAAAAGCCTCAGATTACCGTTTTCATTTTACAGAATCAGTTTTGGCCTAGACTAGACTAGACGTTAAATCAAAAGCAAAATGCATGTGAAATAGAAATTGGTAATGAAGAGCATAGTGGTAATCCAATGCAATATACAATAGTCTTAAAATGAGGAAGTTGTTTGGCTCAGACTAACTGAGGGATAATTTACCTAAAGAAACAAAAAGGAAAAAAAAATTAAGCATTAATTTTAATGTAATTAAAAATTGAATTTTAAAAATTAAATTGCTTGTAAAGTTTTGCAAACTGAAGAGATTTCCCAGCTCAAAAGCATCACACTTGTACTATTTTCTAATTAAAATTGTGGATCCTAGATTGTAAGCTATCACATTATGAGTAAGGATCATACTGGTACATGACACTAAAGCTAGTTTTGTCAGCATTACTTTATTGCAAAAATAGGGCAATTGGAGAAACAGAATTCCACTTTACTGAAGACGACATCGCTTTTCAAGTGTCTGTAAGAGTGTGTGTGTCTGTCTCTTTCTGTGTGAATCAGTGTTAATTGCCTTGCTGGACCAATCCCTGGCAAGGTTTTGGGGAAGTGATTTGGCAATGGAGGAACTTGGCTCAAAGTCACCCAGCTAGCTTTGTGCTTGAGACAGGACTGGACCCAGAGGGGGTTTGCTCCCCGTTTGGTCTGGATTGGATGAACCAGTAGTAGCGGTGGCAGAAGGCTCTGCCCACCCACCTGGATACTTCTGCACATGCGCAGAAGCAGCGAGCGCGAGCGAACCGGTAGCAAAAAAATTGGAAACCCACCACTGACTGGAACCTCAGGGTCTCCTGCCTTCTAGCTTGATATCTTAAGCACTACACCAAATTGTCACCCTTTTCAAGTTATACCAAACTGGCTCTCTACCTAAAGTTACACATAACCTTTTTATAAGCATATAACAAGAAAATGGAGCAGAGATAGTACATAAAATAACTCTGGGTTAGTGAAAAGCAAACACACGGAGAAATCTAGTTCACCAGAATGAGGGCTCAATGGTAGCATCCCCAAAATAATCTCCTTTCTTCTGATCTGTTTCCAGGTATTATCCAGGATACAATTTTCTGGGTATTTTAAACAAACAGAACCATATAGCCGAAGAAGGGACAAACTAATCTGAAAGGATTTGCAAAGTCTGCTTAAACAAAGGCATAGTAGTTCTTTACTTACCACAATAGGAATATAAAATATCAATGTCAGGAGATGTACAAAGCAGTTGTTTTTCCAGTGCCACGGTATAGCCATAAACAGAAAGAATGATAACAATAAGCTGGAAAAACTGTAGATATGTCAAAACCATCTTGCCAACAATAAAGTAACTTCATTTAAAAAGAGGAAGAATGTCACGCTGCGTCACCCTCAAACGAGATTTTTTTTTTTAAAGGGGAATAGCTATGTTGTATCTTAAATGATGCCAAACAATTATCTGAAAATCTTTTAACATTTTGCCTTTTGTTACAGAAGACACACAATATATTTTGAATCTCATTTGTGCAAAATGAGAAAGGGAGGGAGGGAATCACTTTATTCACCGAAGCTTGATTTGATTATAGCTGTCAGGAGGCAGACTCTCAAGAAATATTGGCTTCTCAATTCAACTTTATTTTGGGCTTCATAATCCTCATGTAACCACCAACCTTTTCCTTCATTTACAAGCATGAATGGGCGCTTTTGGGACATAAATGCTGGAATAATCCCAACTACACAAACCTGACCTAGAGTTTAATTAGTTATTCCCATGGTGGCACTCTTTAATAAGCTCAGAAATAGCAATTTAATTAAGCAAACCAAGTCTAATCAAAACCTGCCAGTTAAAAAAAAAAGTTGGAATAATTTGGATTGAATACTGTTGTCCTTCCTGTTCACATTTATACACATTGATTCTGATCCTAAAAATAATGGGGTTAGCTAAAATCAACTTTGATCTTATATCTAGAAATGATCTAAATTACGGTATACCTACAAGAATTTTATCATAGACAAATATTATCTAAGATAGCAGGGATGTCTTTCTTATGCTATATATAAACTTTTCAAAAATTCAAGTTTAAGATTAGGTTTGTATGCAAGGCTGCAACACCAAGGGTATTCCTGCTAGCATAAGAATTAAGCAGATGCATATTTGGGTTGCTGCTATGGCACATTTGTTAACTGTCTAGCAGCCAAGATCATACTTGTCATTCTCCAAAACTGAAGGGCACATTTAAATGCACCTTTAATGCAATCCTGCTGTATGTAAATGATGCTGTTATCTCAATTCCAACTGGCCAAAAGTGAGTTATGCATTGCAATTCAGCACTCAAAATTATATCAAACCTAATGTTTATGGTTTGCCAAAGAACTACCTGTACTCTTGTCTAGATTTAAATGTTACAGTCACACTTCCAAAAAATTAGACAGCTATCTTTCTAGCTATACTTATGTATACATTACTGTTTTCATGAAAGTGATTGTCAAACAATATTTGGCTGTGATCATTGCAGAGGAAGGACATATGGATGTATACATAAAAATGTTGGTAATAGCCATAATGTTCTTCAGAGTAAGACTAATCATTCTTTCTATGCAACAGAAATCATTTTGAAGACTAAACTGGATTGATAAATGTACCTTCTTACTTACTGACCATTTTAGACAAAGCCAGTCAGAATGAGACATGATTTATTTGGTAGTCTTGTATTCAAAACTTGTGCTTTATGACCAAGCTATATTTCTTCTTATCCCTTAAGTACTGTCAAAGATCATGGAACCTGTATGTGCACTAGAGGAATAGGCAGTTTTGCCTATTTGCATGAATGTGTAGAATGGAAGACATGGGATTGTGTAGACTGTAGACTGTGTAGTTTTCAAAATCCATCCTTCAAAGGATATTTTTCATTATTTTTATTAATCAGTCTTACAAAGAAACAAATCTTGCCACTGTTGTCACTTATGCCAGAGGTAGTGAACTCTTGTGATATTTTATACGAAGTCGTAAAAAATATTACTGAAACCAGTATGTGCCAACAAATCCAAAAACACAGTAACCCTTAAGAACATTATTTTAAAAAAAAAATGTCTCTGCCCCACAGTCATTTCTTATTACTGTACTAAGCCAATTATGGCTCAATTTATTTAACAATGCATGCTTTTTGAACACTCCATTAGAGGGGCCTGCATTTAAAGGTGTCATACAGTAATGTGGTTCAGGTCCCTCTAGTGGTAAAAACGCTTCCTTCACTGTAGTGAAGTTCATCCATTCTTTAGTTATTCATAATTGTGAATTGAAACTTCCTCAATACCGTTTTGGGAAAACTTAAAATGATCTCAATGGGCAGACACTTAAAAATAAAGAAATAAAAAACATGTACTCCTTAAAACTGAGCTCGTTCTTAGAAGTGGGCGAGGATTCTTTGAAGATTGTATGGATCCATCTGTGAAATAGATGCTATTGTCACAAGTGCTTTTTCAACAGGTAATAATGGACTTCGTTTCTCCAGGGCCCTCCCTGGATGTTTTGCTTCTCATCCAAGATGCTTCTTCAGTTCTGACTGAATGGGGCAGCAGCACCAAGGGGTTGGGGTGGGGGAACAGGAGGATTTATATTTCTTGCAGTCATCTGGTCATTAGCACTCTCTCTGGGAATTGTTGTAGGAGGTCTATCAGGATTGTGTGTATCAAAATGGAAATGGATGTGGAATCTTCTTGGAACTGCTGAAAGGGCTATGTTGTAAACAGGAGATAGAGATGTTGTATCCGTCCCCCCTCTGTTGAGAGTGGGCTGTTCAGTTTTAACATAGATGACTTCTTTGATCCCTCTCTGTTCAGAATGTGAGCTCTGAAAGAGGGGTCAAAGATGCAACATCTTAAAAAGACAATGTTTTTCTCAGCAGACTAAATTCCCATCCCAGTAAAAGCTCTTTTAATCACGTTTATCAATACTTAAAATAAAAAAACTAAAGTAATGATGAAAAAAGCAATATTAGGTCATCTAAAATCTGTGAAAGACTTCTGAACATCAAAGAGAAATCAGGTAATAGACTTTGACATTTTAGAATTCTATTTTTTTGAGTCCTTCAAATCAAACTGAAAGGGTTTGTCATATCCCATAAGATGGCTGTAGTCTTGAGCATAATTAAACAGGAATGGATTAACAAACATTGCTCTTCTTTTAACATAAAATGTTGTGAACATCTTGCTCATGTCTGGAACAGTCACATCTTTTTGATGGAACAAAGTTTTCTTTTCTCTCAAAATGCCACTGTATGTAATTGCTGTGTATGTGTCTGTTTTATCTTTATAGTACAGACGGATAATATATCTTCTAGTAAATAAATGTAAGATCAGTGGTGTTAGGAAAATAAAGAATAGTGTGATACTATAAAAAGCAATTTCCGAGTAGATTTTGTCAAAATTTAAGCCATACTTGTGTATAATAGCAAACAACATGGAAGCAGTAATTATGCTGGTGGTAAAACAGAATGTTTTCACTCCTGCAAGAAAAGAAAAACATATTAATAGTTAAGAGTCCAAATTGGTTCCCACCCTAAACCTAACCCTAAGCCAGACAGTAATTCAAGAACTAAACAGTACTTAGAGCCATTTACACCCATTTGCTGGAGGGCCATCTTCTTCAACAGGATTTCCTTCTAAATTGATATAGTTCAATTAACAGAGCTAAATGAAATATTTAACAATATGCAGTAGTATGAATGGGGCTGAAAAGAGGCACTTGCTGCAGCTGTTATCTCTCCTGTAAAGACAGGCAGTTTTTCCTGGGCTTCCAAGGCTGGCAGAAAAAGTTTTACAGGTAGTTCTTGTTTAGCAATCCCAATTATGACTAGCAGCTCTGTTAAGTGTGCGCCTGCTTAACTTTTTGTAATTCCTTCTATTCTAATTTCCTTCTCTGGGGAAACAAGCAATTTCTAAAGCAGTCTCTCCTGGGCCTGAGTAGTTTTCCCTCCCAACACCCAGAGTAGAAACATTGAAGGGATTACAAGAGAGTACCCCTTTTTAAGCAACGTCTCACCCTTTTGCTAAAAATTGTTGCCCTGCCAGGTATCTAAGACATACTGTATGCCACTGATATGAAGAATGTTTTTAAAAGTTGCTAGTTAGCTTCTGGGTCCAATTCAAGGTGCTGCTCATAACCTTTAAAGCTCTTTATGGCGTGGATTCAGCCTATCTGAAGAACTGTCTCACCCCAGTGGGATTGGCCTGGAGGGAGTATGGTGCAGACCACATTGGACAAAGAATTTCAGTTGGCAGGATCCAAGAGAAAAGCCTTTTCTATCATGGCTCCTGCTCTTTGGAACATCATGTTCTCATGGTGAGGTCTGGCCCTACCCTCTTAGCCTTTCAAAAAGCACAGAAAACCTGGCTCTTCCAGCTGACTTGGGCCCTCCACTTTGGAGGTGGTTATTAGATTGAGAGACGATTCCACCTCCATTCTATTTACATATTAGTCCCTTTTTATCTGGTCCTTGGTTAATTTTAATGTTTTAATCCTTAATGTTTAATGCTCTTAATGTTTTATGTTTTTATATTATTGTGAGATGGTTGGCAGATAGCAATAGCAATAGCAGTTAGACTTATATACCGCTTCATAGGGCTTTCAGCACTCTCTAAGCGGTTTACAGAGTCAGCATATTGCCCCCAACAACAATCCGGGTCCTCATTTTATCCACCTCGGAAGGTTGGAAGGCTGAGTCAACCCTGAGCCGGTGAGATTTGAACAGCAGAACTGCAGTCAGTTGAAGTAGCCTGCAGTGCTGCATTTAACCACTGCGCCACCTCGGCTCTTTTATTATGTAATAATAAAAGCATAAAAGAATAGATGAAAAACAAACCAAATATTTTGTTAAAAAAGGACTTTGGAAGGTAATTAAGTGGCCCAAGTGTTTCTCATATTGACTGACAGCTAAGAACTTGCAGTAGTTACTGATAGCTATAATTAGGAGTGAGGGCTGCAGACTGGTATAGTTCTGTGATGGCATGTGGGCCCAAAGTGGCACATGGAGCCATGTCACCTGGCACGTGCAGAATCACCATTTCCTCTTCCAGGTTTCTGGTGCGCATGTGTACATGACAATTAGCTGGCCTTTGTGCGTGCAGCAGTGCCAGAAACTGGAAGAGCTGGTCTTCCGTTTTCCTGCGTGAGCATGCACGTCGGCTAGCTGATAGGCGCATGCACATCAGAAACTGGAAGGCTTGCCAGAAGTTCATTTTCCAGCGCATGCATGCCCCTGGGAAGCTCTTCTTCCTGGTCATGGCCTAGACAAGCACAAAGTGCTCCCTTTTCAGCATTCGGTGCCGAAAAGATTCGCCATCACTGGTATAGTTCAATAAAT